GGTACGTCTTCTGCTGAGGAAGAGCACATCGCCGTCGTCACTCCCGCCCGTGATCGAGGTTGTCGAAGTGGAGTGGCCAGTCCTATTGGCAGCATAAGAAGCAGGAGTCCTAGCCCTACTAGCGCTCGTGCATCCACTATCCCGCGTGCGAGTCTTCTTCTCAGCATTCCAACTTCACCTTCTGGCCCATCTATATCATCTCACAACAACCTTGGTGCCTCGCCGTCACCTACTAGGTTGACGATCCAAACAAGCCCGCCTGTAGTCTTGCCGCCTACAAAGGAAGAGAAGTCAAGCCCCTCTATCACAACGCCAACTTCAGCCTACTACTCTACCATTTCTTCTGCAGAGTCGTCTCCAACCACGACCACAGTCGAACACCCTCCTCAGTCACTTCCCACTCCTACATCCACGGCTATTTCGCCGTCAACTACGTATGCGGGCTCTCCATTTGTTGTTCCCCTAAATATATCACATCCTCCCTCACCTACTCATGCTTCAACAAAGCGGTTGTCGTTCATGTCGTATTCGGACCTACTGGCCTCGACGCCGGCATCTATGGTGCCCCTCTCGTCTTTCACAAGTTACGCGTCTCTCGATCCTCCACCCCATATTCCCAGCGTCAGTGGGTTTACGCAAGCTCACTCGGCAGCAGCTTCTATCAATGGTGTGATCAGAGACAGAGATAGCATTGCTGTACTGGACGATGTTGGTGGAGAATGGGAACGTGAGGGCCTTGGGAGAGGCTTAGAGGAGCGGCTCGAAGCCTTGATGATCCTTCCGGGGAAAGCATGATGTTAGGGTATGTGTATGCTCCTTATTGCAACAGGGTTCAGCATCGAAAATCGGCACCAAGATGGATAAAGTGAAGTATGCAAGATATGTGTCTCTGTGTTTCTATGACATTTCACTCTAAATTACACTCACGTTGTATTAATTTATCTTCTTTATGCGTATCTTTTGTTCCTTCTTGCTGCTACTAGGTTTCAATCCGATTTTCTCCCAGTGCAATGGCCTTCCGTTGCGTCCTTTTGCCCTCCCTTCTTTCATTTACTATATATATGATATACCAAACAAAGGATAGTCAGCCCATCAGTCTCTATGGTCTCTTTCTCTTTTCTTGTGGTCTAATACAAATATAATAAAACGGGACTTTTGTTTGAGTCTTATTTTTGCAAAAGAGGCTCTAAAGTTTAAGAGGAGTTATGGAGCAACCTGGTGACTCATAATCACACTAGTACTGGCAGTCACGGTAGCCAAGCTCTGAGGACCACTATTGCAAATGACATGTCCTCGTTTGTTTTACTTGATCAAAACTTCCATCCGAGTAAGTCTTCTTTTGAATGGTGGCAGATATTATTTCGTCCCTTTCACGCGTGGCTCTACTTATGTCAGGGGGAGACTCCCAGGAGAACCCAGCTTGGTCCACAGTTCCATGTTCCCACTTGCATACTAGTATATGGCACTTGCTCATGGAACGACATCCTACAGTCGAGTCTCATTATCCTCAGAAGATCCTCAGCAGACTTTCACTAAACCAGCGTAGTTGTGCAGCCACACTGTCACTGCAACTGTATGGTGGCTTTTAAAGCCTGTGAGTAGAGGACAAAATCAGACACACCTTGCGGCACATGTTCTATTCGAAGCGGACTCACGGGCCTGAAACTGATATCATGATACTGATATCCCTCATCATTGGCTTTCTTGTATACTTCTGCCGAAGATGTGCTGGCCCTCGTCCGTCAAAATCGACACGAAATGACCTTCAAGTGATGACGCAAGCTTGAGCGCTGACTTCTCTTATTCTCATATCCAGATTAGGGTTGTCATATGTACCTATCCTCCCCGGTTGACGCTGTTCTTCCATATGCAAGTCAAGGAGGGCAGCATGTGTTCAGACCCAGACCATTCTCGTCGTCACCTCCGTTCCTGATGTGGATGTGTAGAAGAATACTAAATATAATTATCTGTTTTAGTTCCACCCTCCCTCCCACTTATCTGGTTTATCCCATTGGTCACAGACACGACCATGCTGGTTCTTTGATTTGCCCCTTTTGTATCTCGTGGGCGATTCCCTTGTTTGCCCCTTGAACACCCTTGAGCCCCTGTCAGTTGAAGCCTCCAAACCGAGCTCACCGTTACGATCAAGCTCGACTATCGCAACGTCCCATCCGTACTTCATGGCACTCTTTGGTTCACCCCTTCCGAAACTTTTTGTACCTGGATGATGTGGCAGAATGTAATCTTATGGCACTTCAGGACTGCAAACTGGGGCGGTCTATTCTTCTAGCTTGTCTCAGTTAGTCTCACACTGTTTTTGGTTATCAATGTGTGTGATGTTGAGCGTATAAGAAGAGGGCGATACCATGGCGAGTATTCGGATCTCTGACCCTCATCCTCATATCGTCGTTCATCATGGTCTTGGCACAGGTCCTTTTCGCACTATCAGGTGTCTCTGTGCTTCTCAAGCTGGCCGTCCTTCCAGCCCTGGCCTTCGACATGTCCCTAAACAACAATGTGTGTATATCCGTTGTACTACAGAATGACTGGTCTTGACCTGATTTGACATGTCTGTCTTCTAGCTGGCTGTGTAAGTATCTATCGGATCTCATTCCTATTTATCACTTAACTCGTCAATTTTGACAGTTACTGGGGCCAGAATTCGTATGGGGCAGTAAATCCGGATGATACGGCTGGATACCAGCAGCCCATCTCTTACTATTGTCAGGTAAGTATTTCGAATAGATTTACCTTACCAAAATGCTGAATGTACCATAGGATGACACCATTAACGCATTCCCAGTTGCCTTTCTGGACGAGTTTTTCGCCGAAGGTGGTCTTCCTTCCCTGGACCTTGCAAATGTAATGAGCCTTCACCCTCTTTCCCCCTCACACTTCTCTAAGCACTTTTTCGCTTGATAGACATGCAACGTGAATGACAATCCTGTCTTCGCAGGCACTCAGCTTCCGAACTGTTCCTTCTTGGCTTCGGATATTGAATACTGCCAAGCTGCGGGAAAGATTGTAACTCTATCGCTTGGTGGGGCAACTGGTGGTGGAGGATTTTCGAATGATACGCAAGCCCAAGAGTTTGCCCAGACGATATGGGATCTCTTCCTTGGAGGATCAAGTACAACTCGTCCTTTCGGTGCTGCTGTTCTGGATGGGTGAGATCTCACTGTTCTATGCCAAAAGCTCTCCTCGCCTATACTCTACACGGTTCTTCGTAGTGTCGACTTGGATATCGAAGGCGGCTCTCAGACTGGTTATGCTGCATTTGTCACTGCCATCCGGACCTTAGCTGAGAGTGCAAGCAAAGAGTGGGTCATTGTATGCTTTCACTAGTAGCCGTCCTGAACCCGCTAATTTTCCATCCGTGAAGATACTATGTGACAGCAGGTTGGAAATTTACACACTCCAACCAATAACATTTCTAAAGTACAATCGATTCTAGCCCCGCAGTGTCCGTACCCGGACGCTTACATAGGAACAACCCTTGACGAGGTCGGCTTCGATGCTGTTTACGTCCAGTTCTGTGAGTTTCCATGAGATTATTAACGGGCTCGCTGTCCTGAATATGTGCAGATAATAATTACTGCGGGCTGAATGAGTATAGTAACGCCAACGTGAGTAGCATGAGTGTTTGTCGTATTGATTCTCATGTATTGCCTTCGGTTTAGGACTGGGACTTCGGCACATGGTAGCTATCCCATATCTTGTGTGAAATGGTTTGCTTACAAAGGTCCAGGGACAACTGGGCTACAACTGTTTCACCGAACTCCAATGTTAAGGTATATATCGGTGCCCCCGCCTCATCAACTGCCGCTGGCTCTGGGTATGTCGATGCCTCGACCATCACCACCATCATTCAGCAGACCATGGCAGAATATTCATCATTTGGTGGGGTTATGCTGTGGGATGCATCGCAAGCATATGGTATGATAATTGTCTTCTTACAGTATAGATCATTAGTTGATACTCCTTCCATCACAGCCAATAATCGGTATGATATATCTGTCAAAGATGCACTTACAGGTGGAACCGTCGCACCTACGACCACCACTTCCTCTGCTTCATCGACAACGACAACGACAACGACAACGACCACTACTTCAGCTACGACCTCTACCACCGCCACGGCAGGCACTGGAGATTGTGCGAGCATCGCTGCTTGGTCGTCTGGGGTGGCTGTAGGTATCGAGTCACTTCATTCCTGATTAGTGTTGACGTGCTTATAGTACACCGGCGGAGATCAAGTCACCTACGAGTAAGCACGTTAATCTTCTTCATAGTGTTTGACTCAACTAGCCCTTTAGTGGTAGCCTATGGACTGCAAAGTGGTGGACTGAAAATGACGAACCCGGAGGTATGTAAATCTTGAGGTCGAAAAACATCGTTTCTTTCGTACATCTTGATCTTACATTCACTTAATCCTCTGGTTAGGTTCTGCTGACGACTGGACTGATGACGGTGCATGCACGTCTGCGGCGACAGCACAGGCTCCACAAGGCACAGTCGTTCCTGATGCTGCAGTCACACCTGTAGCCGCATCTCCTACTGCTAAGGCTAGCGGTGCTCCTGAGGGGTCAGCCGTTCCAAAGGCAACTTCTGCTCCAGCTAATGTTTTAGAGAACGCCACTACTCCGGCCAATGGTGCAGCCGCGGCTCTTGAACCAGGGGCTGCCAAAGCCACAAGAATCAATTCTCGATTCTTCCGATTTATGTGATAGCGATTCTTGATTATTTTCCTTTGCATATTCATTTACTGGTTGCCACGTTCATGCCGTTATGACATACATGATATACTTCTGCACGTAGATCGTACTCCCTGTGGCCTTGTCGATTTATCAATTTAAGTTTCCCCTTCGGATGTACACAAGTTAGCTGTAGAATTGTACCAGCTCAATGATTTCCACGAATGATACTACTTGCGGAATACTCAGGTAAATGTTTCGGTGTGGTATCTCTTGATGTCTTCTTCATGTCATAAGCAAAAAGACAATATGCTAACGCATCTCCCATCTATCGAAATTGGAAGCGGAAAATATCTATGGTCACCATAGCATCGAATTACATTTTTCATCCTATTACAGCATGCAAGCCTTTTCCTTCACTGCCTGAATTCCTACAGAATACACCGAACAATATTGCCAGATTGGCAGAGATTCGCACTATCTATGCTTTAGAGAGCTTTTCCTTGAGGACATTCTTAAGGGTTTCGCCATCTTCTGCGAACTTCTTGATACCTTCATGGAGCTTATCGAAAGCCATTTGGTCTTGGAGAAGGGTCCAGCGGAACTCGGGCTCGTTGTCGATGAACGTAACTTTGGGAATAGGGTCGGCTTGAGCAGCTGTTGAGGATGTCAATATCACAATAGTTCTAGGCTTTCATAACTACACCTACCAGCCTGAGAGTCAAGCTTCTTCGGAACAGGCTCCGTCGACCCCTTCAATTCTTCGAGTAATGATGGAGAGATAGTCAAGAAGTCGACACCAGCCAGTGATTTAATCTCGCCCGTCTGATGAATATATAGGTCAGTGACTAACCAACGATACGATGATTTCCCAGAACATACGTTACGGAAGCTCGCACCCATGACGATAGTGTTGTAGCCATGTTGCTTGTAGTAGTTAAATATTTTCTTCACCGACTTAACACCAGGGTCTTCGTCACCCTCGTAATTCTTACCAGTGCTCTTCTTGTACCAATCAAGGATCTATATAATACTTGTACGTAAGTCATTGCCAGGGCGCTTAAGATTTGGGACTTACGCGGCCGACGAATGGCGAAATGAGGGTGACACCAGCCTCAGCACAAGCAACAGCCTGACCGAAACCGAAAAGAAGCGTAAGATTGCAGTGTATACCATCATCTCTCTCGAGTTCACGAGCAGCTTGAATACCCTCCCATGTTGATGCGATCTTGATCAGAACACGCTCCTTCTTGATACCAACGGAGTCGTAAAGTGCAATAAGCTCCTTGGCCTAAAGGAAAAATATTACGGATGTTCTACCGATGATATTTTGCATTTCGACTTACTTTTGCCTTGGTAGCCTGCTTGTCGAACGAAAGGCGGGCATCAACCTCGGTCGAGACGCGGCCGGGGATGATAGCAAGGATCTCTTTACCGAACTCGACGAGCTGGGGAGAGACAGGCGTTGGGATGTTCCGAGTTTTATCGGCAATAAACACAAGGGCTTACCAATCTGTCCATAGCGGCGTTGGCTTGGACATCGAGGCTACCACCTTTGCTCTTTCCGTGCTTGATAGCAGCATCAACCAGGCGGGCATACCCTGGCTTGTTGGCAGCAGCCAAAATCAAAGAAGGGTTTGTAGTAGCATCCTGGACAATGAAACGATGATTATGAGATTAGAACTCTACCTCCGCTATCTAATCCAATCAGATCTAAGTACCTGAGGCTTATATACATCGATGGCTATTGGGGGGAGCGTTAGCTAGACGGATCAAGTACAAGTGGTACAACCAAGCTTACACTCGAAGTCGCCAGAGTCAGATACGACGACGGTACCAGTTTGTTTGAGATGGTCGAGAGAAGTGGTCATGGTGGTTGCGGTGTGAGGTGAATAATTGCGGTGGATCCGCTCACAGATGAGTGATATAAGGCCGCTCAGCCACTGTGAGATCATACCAATCGGGGCGGGCCGAACCGTGAGTGCGGCAAGCCTTTTCCGGCACCTGCCACTCGTCGGTCATTCGGCCATGGCAAACGTTTACTCCTGCTCGTTCAAATTCTACCTCTGTACCTCCCCTCTAGTATCTGCCAAACTTGTCTTTGCATGGCCAGATAAATAGACTTCATGGGTGGATTTCCACTGGACTTGATGCTTGAGGTCTCGTAGCTGGTTTAGGTGACTTACATAGGTCACGCCAGGTACAGCGAAAGTGTCAGCAACTGTGGGATGGCGGGGCCAAGGGTACTTTGATTTTTCCACAACCGTGTATGTCGGGAGTGAAATTAGCGTGCTAGCCAGGGAATCAATCACTCCTTGCTAAGGCGACGAACGTGTCCTTATAGAAGAGATATTCCTGGTTTTAGCTGATGAACTCCAACATTTGGTAAGAGGTTCAGTTCACCTCGTAATAGTGCGATGTTTTGCTTGTAGAAGATCTCGACTCTAAGAGCATGTCGATGTTTTCCAGAGGGGTGTCACTTCCTCAATCATGTCATTGCAAAGTGCAAGTGAGCTAAAGGTATTCTTTTTTCTCACTTCTCTATTAGCTGAGCTTTTCCTTTCCACGTCCTAAGTGAGCTAAAGGTATTCTTTTTTCTCACTTTTCTATTAGCTGAGCTTTTCCTTTCCACGTCCTAGAACATCTTTTTTATAAAATGTGGAGTTATTAATTTATGTTGCATTTTTTCTGAGCGTTTCTTCAAACCTGAACTTTGGACGCCGAGGTGATATTATCGGTGCGGAGCCTTCTGCAGATGTGACTCCTAGAATCTTAGGCATGAGTGCGGCTCCTAGCCACAACAGGGCACTGGTACCCACACATTCGCAATTTTGCCCATGGCGGTTACTGCTGTGTCCAAATGGTTTCTAGAAGTTTGATCATAGGCGTAGAGCTTTCATCGCTATAGTGGCTCCCCTTGTACCCTTGAATTTCTCGTGATTCGTTGCATTTTGAGTTCTCTTGACTTGATGAGTAGTGTAGTTCGACTGAAGACAGGGGAAAATTTACTTATAGGTAAGAGTCCTCATAGATCTGAATTTATTTGAAACAATTCAAGTTCATGGAGTCCAGCAGGCATAATTCAATGGCGTCCTGACCTGATCAGGGGAGCGTTGTAGAATGACCAGACACAATACCAGGTACAGTGGCTATTTCTTCTCGCAGGCAGTTAGCTAGATGATAATATTCTGCTTATTGGGGTTCTACTCTAACGCTTACAGTAATACGCTTTGTAAGAGGATGATAACGTCTGAGCAGGCACTATTTGTCATCATCGCCGGGCATGCTGTGAGAATACCCGAATTGCTGACCAAAGGCAAATGGTGCTATATTCGCAAAATCTACATTCATGTGCGTTTAATCATCAACTCTCGTATTCTATATTCCTAGGAAGCATGCACTTATCTGACAAATTCACGGAGGATGATCATACTTATAGTATCGAGATGGATGCGACTTTCTGAAAAAAACACATCATTCTTGTAACACTCACATTTCGATTCCTTATACCATGTCACCCGCAAAGCTTTTCCAGCCTATCCAAGTAGGAGATGCCACCTTGAAGCACCGCGTCGTTATGGCACCTCTAACTCGCTTCAGGGCTCATGCAAACCATGTCCCAGGTCCACAGGCAGAAACGTATTACGCTCAGCGTGCTAGTATGCCTGGGACGCTTTTAATAACAGAAGCAACGTTCATCTCTCAGAAGGCAGGCGGTTTTGACCATGTTCCTGGAATATACACCGACGATCAGATTGCCGGGTGGAAGAAGGTAGAGTACATGTTGATTGTCTACGTCTCCAGAACTGAAATCTTAATCGGCTTTGCTATGAAGATTACAGATGCAGTACATGCAAAAGGGTCTTTCATATACCTTCAGCTTTGGGCATTAGGTCGTGCCGCGGACCCTTCCATTCTCACAAAGGAGAATAACTCTCCTTACGTCTCTGCCTCTGGGATCCCTTTATCGGGAAAATCTTTTATCCCGCAACCACTTACTATTTTCGAGATCGAGGAGTATGTGCGCGCTTATGCCACCGCAGCTTCCAACGCCGTTCATAAAGCTGGATTTGACGGAGTCGAGATTCATGGGGCTAATGGATTCCTAGTTGATCAGTTTCTACAAGACGTTAGCAACAAGCGCACGGATGAATACGGTGGAAGCATCGAAAAGAGGTCTCGATTCGCTCTGGAAGTCGTCGATGCAATTGCTCAAGCTATAGGTCCCCAGAAGACCGCGATCCGTCTGAGTCCTTGGAGTCCCTTCCTAGGTTTATTCACGTCCTAGCACCGTCCTTTTCTTCGTTGCTGATAGCCTGTTGCAGACATGTGTATGGAGAATCCTGTTCCCACATTTTCTTATTTAGTGACCCAGCTCCTCAAGTATCCTCTTGCGTATGTTCATGTTGTCGAGGCGCGCCACAACGGAACAACAGAATTTTTGGGAGCCGCATCGGATTTAAATGATTTTATCCGAGATATTTGGGGTGATCGACCATACATCAGTGCTGGAGGATATGATAGAGAAGGTGCTTTACGACGGGTTGAAGACAAAGGCGGCTTGATCGCATTCGGGAAAAAATATATACCCAATGTACGACCTTTTTTCTGGACCAGTCGTGCAAGAATTCTTAACCATTTTCTCCATACAGCCAGATCTCCCCTTCCGGTTGTTGAAGAATTTACCTCTCACCGCGGAAGACAGAGAGACCTTTTATCAGCCAGGTAACTTGACTCCCTCGGGCTATACGGATTTTCCTTTTGCCGGGGAAATTGTGAGCGAGGATAAGCTGTGACTAAGTAAGTCGTAAGTTATGTACATTTGTTAGGTTATCCTGAAGTATTCCAATTTAGTATGATATAGCCGGGGGCTTGGATGTTATTGGCATAGGTGAATAATATAGAGAGCAGTAAGAGAGTTCTGGGAATACTCAAACAATCGTTGTTAGACTCGCCTTTCAGACCTTATGACATGCTATGAACGATTTTTAGAAATTGTGAAGGAACCAAGTAGCAACGAAGGTTCCGCTGTTGTTTTCTCTTGTCTTTACAACAAGTGATCGGACCATCCCTTATAATTCACCAACTTCGGCATCATACAGATAGATTTCAACTGGATTTACGATACCACGAAACATGGCATAGCGACTAGAACCATGGCAAGTGCGATTTTGGCCTTAACCTGGACTAATCCACACTGATATTCAGCTTCTCGCTATCATTTTGTCGTATTCCATCCATACATCGGATGTTAGTGTGGCATAATACAGCAAACTCGGAAACTACCAGAAAGCCTTCTTTGAAGAAACCATATCTCTTCTGCATTTCACGACGTCTTCGAAGCACTTGCACTCTTGGCCGAGCAATTGGTTGTGCTGACGCCTATTTCTCCCTTTGGGGGTTTATTATGTTGGCTTTTCATTACGTCCATCTTAGCAACTTTTACTATCATTTTCATTGGTCATCAAATTACCAGGTGAAAATGGTCCCTGCGAAAGACATATAGTGTTGGCCCCCCATCTCTTTTGGCGCAAACAACATACAAGTGGGTAAACACGGGGAAATGCATCCGATTTGAGGATAAGTGTTGATTGCTCTTTCTGCGGACATAGAACACCATGCTGCAATGTCCACTCCTACCGGATTTGTTCCTTTCGTCGAACACATACTAAGATCCGTGTTAGTATTGTAACTTCAGCCGTATTGATGCCAGGACTTGTGGCATTCGAGAGAGCAGGTCAGCTAGGTAGGGATGAGTGCTTTCTGCCCCGGAAGGAGCTGGATGTCGAATATACGATCGTTATTTTCTTGTTGTCATCGCGAAACTCTCCCTGCTAATTTATCTTCTGTAGTATGACTTACTTGGGGACCCCAAGAACTGAGGTGCGTTTCATTGGGCACCCTCGCCCTTGAGGAATATGCTATGCTCATTCGCTGTTTACCGCTCAAAAAAGAAGCCGCCTGACCTTAGTCAGTCGTGCTAGATTTTGCTTCGCATTGCGACAACAATTTCCAGTAACCCAAACGTCTTCAAGTAGTTCCCTCCTTGCTCTTTGTGAGACTTTCTAGCACTGATCATCAAGTACCGTCTGATGTACTCTGAGCTTTCACTGGTACCTTGTTGTATCACGCTCTAACTCAGTTGTGCAGAGATAAGCATGTATGTGCTGCTTGACCGTGAATCCTCCTAAAAAAAGGTGGTGTATTCCGCTCTATCACTAGTCTCCCCTACTCTATCACATGCATCAGCTGAGTAATAAGGCGTTGCAGACTCGCGATCGGCCCGGCAGTTTTAGAAATGTTACTCGGCTATAGTACTGTCGTCCAGAAATCTCTTTCTGCACTTTTAAGTGTAGGAAAAGTTCACATCAGCGGTATCAGCACGCAATCATGTCAGCCCGTCCTTACAAATAGTCCAGGAATAGATTTCCTATATAACCCAGCCTTGAGAGGCCAGTCTCTTCACTATCCTTATCGATATAGCTCGTTTTACTTTCAATGTCGTCTCCGAAACTCTTTCATCCCATTCAAATCGGGGATGTCACTTTGAAGCACCGCGTTGTGATGGCTCCTCTTACTCGTTTCAGAGCCCAGGCCAGCCACGTCCCAGGCCCTCTTGCTGCAACTTATTATGCCCAGCGGGCCAGTAGTTTACCAGGGACACTTTTAATCTCGGAAGCCACCTTCATATCGCAGAATGCAGGAGGTTATGACCATGTTCCTGGTGTGTACACTGACGATCAAATCGCTGGGTGGAAGAAGGTGCTTGGGGATTTTCCTTTCCTTTCCTTTGTTTTTGCGCTGACGTTATCCGCGCTTTATCTAAGATCACAGATGCTGTGCATTCCAAAGGGTCTTTCATCTTCCTTCAGCTATGGGCACTGGGCCGTGCTGCCGATGCTTCAGTACTATTGGAGAAAGAGAATAACTCTCCCTTTGTCTCTGCCTCGGATGTCCCTATATCTGGTCATCCTTCGAAGCCACGGTCACTAACCATTCCAGAGATCAAGGAGTATGTACAGGCCTATGCTACAGCAGCTTCAAATGCTGTACATAAGGCAGGCTTTGATGGAGTCGAGATTCATGGTGCTAATGGGTACTTAATCGATCAATTTCTACAAGACGTTAGCAACAAGCGTACGGATGAGTACGGTGGGAGCATCGAAAATAGGTCTCGATTTGCTCTAGAAGTCGTCGACGCTGTGGTCAATGCAGTGGGCCCTCAGAAGACTGCCATTCGTTTGAGCCCATGGAGCCCTTTCCAAGGTAAATTCAGATGTCCACTGATCCATATTTTCCTGTCATTCCTGACGAATATCGTAGACATGTGCATGGAGGACCCCGTACCGACGTTTTCCTATGTAGTAAACCAATTCCTCAAACATCCTCTCGCTTATATCCATGTCGTCGAACCGCGTATCCAAGGGGGCTCTGATTTTAATGACTTTGTTCCCCCTTCCCATAACAACGACTTCCTTCGCAAAATATGGGTAGATAGACCATTCATAAGTGCAGGAGGGTATACAAGAGAGAGTGCTCTGGAAGTAGCTGAGAACACAGGTAACCTGATAGCGTTTGGAAGAAAATTCATCCCAAACGTACGTTTGCTCCCGCTGTTTTCTTTCATTTTATCTCAAGTTTGAGAACAATGACGTTTCTTGTTGCACAGCCCGACCTACCCTTACGACTGTTCAAAAATATACCTCTGAGTCCTGGTGACAGAGCCGCCTATTATCAACCAGGCAACTTCACTCCTATCGGATATACAGATTGGCCCTTCGCCGAGGAAGCTGAGAAGGAGTGTAAATTATGACTATTGCTGGCAGAGATCGCACACATATTTAGATTACCTTTCTATACGTCTACCAGGGACCATGCGTGATCGAGATTGTGATGGCAGTTGCTCGATGTATGCGGTATGTTGTGATAACTCGCTCTCAACTCAGACGTTCGTGGTGACTCAGGCATAACTTGAAATATCCACGGGATTTTGAAACGCAAACATGAGCATTGATCCGAGAATTATTGTCGTATGCATTCCCAAGGACACGAGCAATATTTTTTCCAGCTGTCGTGTATTCGCGATATTTTTGTCTTTACAGGCTGGGGACTAGACTTTTGGTTTCATATAAACTTTGCTCGAACACGTGGGTTAAAATACAGAACACCAGGCTAAAATTGTCTACAATATATTGGTTACACACTCATAGGGCTATACATAAGGTTTAAGGAATTAGATCGTTCAATGGGAGAAAAAGGAGAGTAGTACAAGATAATTCCTAGCAACTTCGGGCGCTGATCAAACATGCCACCAGTAACTTAGCTAAGCGTAGCCAAAGGATTCGATGTGCAGGGTTACGCTGGGACCGCCCGATAAAACGCTGGTAGGACCGGAAACAGGAAAGCGGAGGGCATTGCGAGTGGCGCGTGCAACAGCCTGGGACCCGCACACTGAATAAAATAATAGTCAGAACTCAGAGCCTGAAGACGGAAGCCAAACTTTACGCACCACTGACGGACATCCTTCCGGTAGCCATACCGACTTCCTCTTTCAAGATCCCATCTAAATTCGGTCTTCCGTTCTCTACTCTCACAGCGCTCATAGCAAGGATGGAATCTTTGCTTTTATCCACGACCTCGTTGTATTCATGCTCTGCAATTTCAGAGCGGGAATCAGAGTGAATTGACTCAGTGTCATCATCGCCGTAAGCCTGTTCTAGCGGTGCGACAGTTGTGCGTGCGCCGGTGACGTGGATACGAATATCAACAGCGAGATGTGGCGGTGCCAGTTGAATTGCTTTGATGAGGGTATCATCAATCCAGTACAGATGATCTGGCGGTACAAAAATCAATGTTTGCGACTTACTGACATCCAAATAGGCTTACCATTTTCACGGATCGACCAAACGAATACAACACGTCGACAAATGCTTTTTCCATCACGAACTTTCCTGTATGTCGAAACGCAAGCATGAGAATATGTGTGTTCGGAAGATGTAATTCACTGACTCTATGACATCCAAGAAGTTGGGAAGCGTATAAGAGATACCAGATCCACCTACATATTTTGAGAAAAGGGGAATAGAAGTCAAAATGCATATTATACACTTACCCGCAATGAAGATCGATGTATCAAAAGACCCCAAGTCGGGAGAAGGACCATAGGGTCCATCGATAAACACTTTAACCTTTCCTCCCTTCAACGCTACATCCTTCAAGCGCTTTGTAAAACCTTCTTGGACGCCGACAAAGAAAACAACTTCCTTCCAGAATGGAGTACTTTTCCCAAGTGCGTGTTCTGCCAAGCTTTTCCTTTTCTCACCCTTTTCAGTGACAGGGGCTTCCTCCACGGAATCAAAGAGATTAGAATCAAAGCTTGCAATGGTGAATGGATGAGCCTCGAATGGAAGCTTGGATACGGAAGGCATGATGAGATAGGCGGTCTGACCAGGGCTCCAGTGAAAGTGGCTCGGGCGATGTAAGCGGAGGCGGACATTATTGTCATCAAGGAGTTCTGTTGTGGCGTCCATGGTAGAACCAGACCTAAAACCAAAGTAGGAGTGGTTGAAGACAATAAGGCGACAAACACGAATGAAACGATCGAGGGCCCAGAAAACAAAGGAAGGCCAAATCCAATATCCAAGGCTGATATAATGTTACATTAATGTAAACCGAAGGCAATTATGGTATGCTTACCTCTGGTAGTTAGTGTGAAAGTAAGCAGTGACGAGGAAGATTCTGTGTCCAAGTGAATCAGCCCATGGAAAATGTGAGAAAAAGTGGTACCTACAAGACCATTGCGAAGTGAGTATAGAAGAAGAACTCGTATGCATTTGCCCTGACGGGTCGCAAGGACACAAAGCACAACAAAGTCAATGCAATAATTGCAACTAAGCCACAGCGGAGCCAGGATTGAGCTAAATCGCCTTTGAATCTGAAAAGTATGTGAGAAAAATGTATCCAGACTTGGTGATGAATGCGCATACTCAGCGTAGTAGACAACCTCACTCCCAGCATGCACCCAAAGCAAGATAACTACAACTCGAGCCATCATTCGGTGCACATAGTTCAACTAAAGCCTTGATAAGTGTGGGACACGAAATCAAAGTATGCAAAATCTTACTCTGTCATAACTAATACCGGTGACGACTAGAAAATATCGATGGAATTAGCGGATGATAAATTAAAAGAGTGCTCTGAACTTGCGTGTGACTAGATTGTTCTTGGTTCCAAGGGCAGCAATCAGAGGGAACTGACTTGATGCGAGTGTTCCAGCGCGATTATACCAATAAGATATGTCAAGTTTTTGACCCTCGAGATCAGTTGCTAGAAGATTCAAAGAGGTTAGATGATTAACGCAGTGACCATACAACAACGATAAAATACGAACTATTAATGAAAGCCCAGACGTAAAGAAAGATAATATAAGCCATGGTCACAAAAACTTCAGCCATATTGAGCGTGTAAGATTTCCCGATCTCCAGAGTCCAGCGGAAAGCGACCACGCGATAAATATTTATGAGAGCGAGAGGAATGCGTGCAAGGGATAATGCATGTCTAACTGGTGGAGATGCCAGCTCCGGATCAGCAGCACTGCCTTGCGCTCGCCTTCGCCTAGCAAACTTGGAGTGTATGTACGATGCCCACTGGAAGATACCAATGATGAAAATGAACAGAGCAAGGCAGTACCATGCTTGCTTGGGGTACAACTTGGTCCTCGCAACGCGCAAGGTTGAGTCAGTGGGACCCTTTGTTTTCGCAAGCATTGATGCGTCCATGGTCACTACAGCAAAATGGATGCTCAGGGGAACTCGTTCGGGGGAGTCAGGTTATCGCTAAGTACTCAACTGCCTTTTAAACACACGGCTGAAGATGCGGGAAACCGGGAGATTATATATTCACATCTGCTGGCGCTGAGATGATAGCAAAGACAGAGATTCGCCCTCGATCGACGGGCTAACACGTCGCAACAATCACGAAAGCCGGTCCTTTAATTCACAGGCAGACCATAGTCCTGCACAGGACGGGAAAATCATCAGGTGTGGATAAAAGAACCCGGAACACTGGACGAGTTGATGAGATTGAAGCAGTAAGCGGGGTCTGTCAGAACTATCGAAGTGAAGGTCAGCGTTGCGCGGCAAACGAACGAACGCCAAAATTATCTTATCTGATACAAATTAGTATTATTGTAGATATCTCAGGCTCTAAACCATAATGTTTGTTACTCACATGCTGCAGGAAGCGGTGATGCTGCATAGAATGCTCGAAGCGAGTCTCCCGCTGAAGTATTAAGAGTGACATTGTGTCTGTCTGTTCAATAAAGGCAACGTGGCAATGATTTTACGGGTTTATGAAATGATTAGGACTGATACTGGGCGAAACATTGCAAAGACGAGGCAAAGATGGGGCTCTCACGAAGCACTGGAAGTTGATCGCTGGTACCAGATATAGTATCCCTGTGGCACGCAGAGATGTCAGATCTGCTTCGTACACGCCGACCAGGACAACGGATGGCATGAGGTGAGGATGGTATAAAATAAAGAAAGAAGTCGGCGGCGTCTCTTTGTTGTCCGAACTTGAATATAGCTTGAATACTGACGTGGCTGCCCACGGTAATCTCCGAGGTAGTGTATCCTACATGACTCGATGATTGCCACACTCCTTTCAGTGCCAGCCTCCATCTCACAAAATATTGGCGCGGTCACTATCAATCCTTTTCGTCCTACCTTCATCCAAGCCTCGTCAAGACCGCCAATTCATGTCCACAATAAAGTCTTGCGCTTTCATGCGCATATGGCGCAGAAAGGCAATGACTCCCATCGTTCGAGATGGGCCAGGCCTTTTACCCGGATTGTTGCTATATTCGATCATTTCTAGTTGGTCCTTTCCACTCCGCCACAGCTTTGCCTGGGTGTCACCAAGGGCTTGTTTCAATCCCGCCATTCATTCTCACCCCTACGACAGTTGCTACGGTTGAGAAGGGCTGTCAGTTATTGTTGTAATCGTATCATCTAGAAAAAGTCTCACAGCCGTTCACATGTGCTAGCTGCTTGATCTGATAACTTCGCATCCATGGACGTCGCCCGGGGCACTCGGACTGCCCCTTTGTGTTCTCATGGATATCCAAGTTGTTGTATCGGTCCAGGCTACATATCGAACTCAGCGCTGATCCCACCTGTCTTGTATCAATCACTTTCAATACAAACCATCCGGTGAAAATAACTTGGGACTTAGTCACCGGTATGATCGTCAGATTCATTTTCGAAATCGGTCCTTCACTTTGACGTAGCTTACTCATTTAGCTCTGTGGTTACTCGGCACATATTTTTTGTAGGTAAGTGAAATATACTACTCCTGACCGTGTCTTTGACCTATCTTCACGACGCTCTAAACAGCCACCCCTGAACTGTGCACATCAAACACCATGTGCAGATACAAGATAGATGTCAAAGAGTCCTCGCTTCCGCAGAATGTCCTATAAATGGGGCTGAGAGTAGATGCTGGAACCAGTCATTATCAAACAAACAATCCTCAACTATGGTTATCCAAGAACATTGCAACACTCGTAAAACTCGGAGCACTGATCAGAATTAGGCGTGGTATCGCGGGATCGATAAAAGTATCTTTCCGGGTACGCTGAGATTAGCTGTGGCACTTTTACTTATGCTGCCTCTTTAAACCCGTCAAGAACCTGTCCTCGGAAACGTGAACTGGTCTTCCATCTCGCATGGCCTCATGACGACTCATGACGGCGTTTTTGCACTTCATCACAGCAGTCTATATTAGGCCCATGGCTGGCTTCCTCTTACTTTCGGGGCCGCCAAGAGAGAGTTGAAAAAAATGCGATGGCAGCGCATATATTTTTTCGACATTTCCCTCGGACTGTGCTCTAGTAGACTGGATTGTACAGGTTTGATGAGTGTTAAGGTAATTACATATGTCTAATGAATCCGATTTTGACTGTAACTGAGGGATGTCACTTCCTAGGATATCACGGTACCTGACATCGACTGAATGATGGTAAGGTAGGCCATTGGATTGGAGGGGAGATAGGTGAAAGAAAGCGCTCGTAAACGCATGCAGCTGGCTTGTGTTTTCTCAAGCACTACAAAAGCACCGATCTACCACTCGAAGTTTGCGGTATGACAAGCCCTAATTCAGAGCTTATCAACTTGCACCGACTCCAAGGCTCCAATCATAATTCGACCCACGCGTGAAAGTTCCGTGACTCTGGTCAAAACCTGTCCGGTTACCTGTGTATCTGATACGATGACTCCCATGCAACCGCCGACCGTTGATTGAGTTTTTCCGAAGAGTTTCTTCCAGTTTTGTGCTTTATCAGACAACAAGACCGCCGTCTCTCCCACAGCTCTTTACCGGGGATGATAGTCCCTCTCACGACTTGCATTGTGAGAGTCGGGTACACTATTCCTGGGATAGTTTCCACACATGTCCAGAAAGTGCGTCCCAGAGAATGATGATCAGTTTGCATTTCATGCTCAATGGTTTCATGGCGTTAGTCGATGAAATGTCCAGTCTTATCAATATCGTATTGCATCGCAAATATATATATATATTATATATAGTACTACTAACCTAATGGATTGAGTTAGTCCGCATCATTTCACCGAGTCCGGGCCATTGAGGCGTAATGGAGCGAATCCTGTGTAAAAGAAGCTAGAGAACAAAGACTTGGTAGCGTTAGGTAATGGCCATGGTACCCCCACGTTCCCTATCAACACCATATGGCATTAGACTCGAAGAAGCTTGAAAGACAGAAAGTCGTCCTTGTCACGGGATGTTCGAAGGGAGGCATTGGCTTCAACCTGTAAGCGAGTGGCCCCGAAATTCTTTTCGATAGAACCATTCACCAATCTCAAAACAGTTGCGAGCGCTTTGCTGGACAAGGATGCATCGTCTATGCCACTGCTCGACGACTGGAAACTATGGATGACTTCAGCGACCCAACAATCCATAAGCTTGTGCTTGACGTTACGAATGAAAGTAATATTCAGGACGTAGTGAAAACCATTTTGGACGACACCGGCAGAATCGATGTACTTGTCAACAACGCGGGAGGAATTTCTATTGGTGAGTATCTTGAAGTCGTAGCAATCTGTCCCGTGGGCTACATGAAAAAGGCAATATCATCAGACGCTAAATCACCCCAATCCTTCAGGTCCTCTCCTCGACGTTTCAATGGACCAAGCAAGAAAAACCTTTGAAGTAAATACGTATGCTCCTCTGCAAGTCGCGAAGGCTGTCCTGCCATCTATGGTGGAGCGCAGAAGTGGCCTCGTGGTGAATATTGGGTCTGTTGTCGGTGAAATGTGAGTAATAGCGGATATTCTACGAACTGTTGATTTCATCTTTTTCTTGCAGTCCCACGCCCTGGAATGGCCTCTATTGTGCATCTAAGGCAGCACTTCACTCCATCAGTGATGTGTTAGCAATGGAATGTGGTCCTTTCAATGTCAAAGTAATGCTCGTTGCACCAGGTGGTGTCAAATCCAACATCTCAAGCAACCAAGCAGCCACTTACAACATGCCGCTCGACTCATTGTACAAGCCTTACATCGATAAGATCATTGCACGTATGAACATCAGCCAATCCAAAGGTGCTTTGGATACGGACGAGTTTGCTAAAACAGTAGTATCAAAAATTTTGAGCCCCAGTCCACCAACGTATTATTCGTTGGGTAAAAACACTGTTCGTATCTCCTTCTTGAAGTGGCTACCCAGGGCTTTGGCACTTTGGCTTACCTGGAGATCGATTGGAAAGATTTGATGACAATACTCGTAATTTCGTCGACTGCTCGGAGTATCCTGTAGTCCAAATTTGTCTTTTTTGCTACTATTTTTTTTACTAATGTATCTTGTGGGGTGAATTCTGGTGTGTATATTTTGAGCACTAGTATTTATCATATTAATCACGCTATAGAGCGTGGCGGATCCGAACCGCAGGTGGGGGAGCAGAACCAAGCCAGAGACGAAACTTCTGGGAAATGTAGACAAGTATGAGAATTTTTTGAGATTCTTATCTTCCGCAGCTCCGAGAAGCACTGTCAAAACTGTCGTTTGAGGAATGTATACATTACATCTATGAGGTTCCTCCCATTTTGTCCTTTTTCTTCTTCTTCTTGCGGCGGGCACTTTCGTTCTCGTTCAAATCAGTAGTGGCATTCTCATGAGGTCCTTTGCTTCTAACCACTTGTTTGTTATGCAGTCCTCCAAGCTCATCATCTTCATCGCGGACACGTTTTTTGCTTTCTTGTGACAGCCCATCCTGCTTTGTGATCGAGGGGTCGAGCAACGAAGGAATGTCGGAAGATATTATCGGTGTTTGTAGTTGCTCGAAAGCTTGAGACAGCTTCGTGTCGCGTTCAAGATGGCTACCCAACACACTCTCCGTCGGTAACGGGGTGGGAGAGGATAAATATGATTCTTCGGCTGCTTTAGGCATCACCAGCTTGGGCTCTGACAAGACTGCCCGGTAAGTTTTGCGAGTATCTGGTAAATAATAATGGTCAAGTTCAGCTCTCATTCTGGGGTAATTATACAGTTTGACATAAAAGACGTACGACATCGCACGATGAGTGATTTTGCTGTGGCTGTAGACGCGTCGTGAGCTACGTTTTGTGGCAAACCAAGTAATGAGATCCTAAATGAAGATGTAATAGTTGAGAAAACGTGTAGGGGGAACGCATGCCTTAAGAACCTTCCAGCAACTTGGATTCGACTCCACTTACAGATTCGTAATGTCTCTGGGGGCCCTGTAATCGGCCTCGCCGGTCACATCACCACTTACAACAAGACCCTTCCCTTTGGTAACGCGCACCACTTCCCTGGCCGCAGCCCACCAGTTGCGCTTGGCGCTAACACCACTTTCGCCGCCACTTATCTGTACTATGCTTGCTTCAACTTCACCACCGATAGCTCCAGCATAGTTTATCTCGAAGACAGCCCCATTCTTTATTGCTGTGCGCACCAAGGTGTGCTTGAGCTGGAAAGGGAGACGAGGGAGGGATAGAGGTAGTGAGATGATATGTGCAGTAAGAGGTGAAGGGAGGCTGTGTGTTAGACATGCAAGAGAAAACGTCGTTGCAGTCGTCGGCGCTAGGGAGATTACGTCGTATGGATCGACAAGTGAAGTGTTTGCGTTAGTCTGCAGGTTATCGACCAGCGATGCAGCCAAAGGTCAACGTCGTATTTAGAAAGGAAAGACGTGGATTTACCAAACCAAAGCCTTTCTCGCTATCATCATCTAGTATTATAGTGAGTCTCTTCAGGAATACAACCCCTTGCCTCCTCTTCAGCTGTGTAATCAGACCGTTGAGGATATTGGTGTGGTTTTTGGGATCGATCTTTTTGTGCACGGTTTGATTAAATGCGATTACACTATATCCTACTATGCTTGCAAACCATTAGATCAAGTACCATAAATGATGACAATACACAATACTGACAATGTACAAGCAAATCTATGCGAGCTTCTATCGCTCTGACTTGACCCAGTGTATGAAGTAAAGGTTCTCCCTGCGCTTGAGGTTGTTTCCCTTTCCCTTTCTTTGGCTGCGACAATCCTGATGGGCCAATGTCTGGTACAGGTACATTGAGGTCGAAGAACATTGTTGATGGATGACCCTCCGAGAGACTTCCTGAATTGAACCTGGTCCACGGTTTCAAGTTGGTTGTAAAAGGGCTGGGCAATGGCATTAGGTTAGGGCTAGGGACTTTGCCGAAAGTCCTTTGCTAACCAATTTTGTTGATAGCCACCGTTACTACCAAGTTACTACTACTACTAAATATTCAACTGTACGATGAAGTTATACAGCATGTTCTAACAATCGCGCCAATCTTTAATATCAGCCAACGTCCTCTCTATAGTCTCCCATAACTCCCTGGCGAGCTCGTCGCTGTTCGCCTTCTTCGACGGCTCTGTAACTTTGCCCACAGGAATGAGATATGCTCCCTGATATTTCTCCGCCTGTTCTTTGACATCGTTCGATGCAGCTGCAAAAGCCGGCGTCCAACCTCCAATGTCTGGGGTTACGAAAAATGGATAGATTAAGACCCTGACGAGGCTCTCAAAATACAACTTGTGCGCGAAGGTGTTCACTGCTCCAGGATGGAGTGAAACAACTGTGATATGCTCCCCTGCAACTGTAAATTGCCTTTGAAGCTCTTTTGCATAGAGGATGTTGGCGAGTTTGGTCAAGCCTGTAATTATGAAGAATGTTGAATAGATGCAGTGTTCGGATTATATAAATACACCGACAATATCTTGAAAATGGCGGTACGTAAGATTTACTACAGTCTTTGTTTAAATCTTCTTTGTTTCTGAATCGAGCTCCAGATGGCACGTATCGATGTCCCTCTGAAGCCACCTGCAATAATATCGGCTTTATTCGTGTAGCAGAATACTGAATGAAAGGCTACGCACAACGACAACACGCACGTCTGAGTTCGGCTCTGCTGCCGTTCGTTTTAGGGTAGGAAGCAGAGCCTCTGTCAGAATAAATGGACTGATCATACTAGCAAGACGTCAAAGTCTATGTGTACAACATTGACCACGATATTTGAAACGTACTTTGTCATCATGATATTCGATATTCCTTTATCCAAAAGTTGGTAAGTGAACAGGTTTTACTAAGTCACGGTAGATCATGACAAAACTCACCATCGACATCTCGATTATAGCTCTCGGTTACTCTGCCATCATTATAGCGTTTAAGGAACCGTGCTTAATTAGAGTAAGCGCTTACGTCGCAGCATTATGGACTGAGCAATCAGTAAGAACAAATTATTCAATTAGCACGCCTGCGGACTGATTAAAGAAGAAGGGCGTACTGAGCACATCGAGTTTGTCCTCCTTGGTCATGAATTCTTCAGCAGCCTTCTTTGCATTGCGAATATCTTTCAAATCCAGCTCTAGCCACACAATTTCCCCATTACCTGGTCCGAGTCCCTCCGCGTTGAGCTGAGCGATGGCTTCTTTCGCCTTTGCCTCGTTTCGAGCTGCCATATAAACTTTGGCACCATGACGAGCGAGGTGCCTAACAGTAGCATATCCTATTCCGGCGCTGTGGAGCCTAGTCAAACACACAGAGCAGAGGACAGCGCCCTGCACTCACTTTCCACCCGTGATGAGAATCACTTTACCAGTCAAGTCCGGTAAGTCAGTGACTGGGTTAAAATGAATCTGCTTAGATGAATGGCCGCCCATGATATTGACTTGGTTCTCAGGATAAATCAAAAATTGAAGACAGTGTTTGTGCAATTCTTAGAGCTCCACTATCGGTGTAAGGATATAAAGAGGGGACGAAAGGGATGAACACTTGTAACAGATATTTTAACGCTGCGAGCCTATGTATGACCGGTGTGCGATCTGTTGCCTGAATCACAATACGAAATAGCATAATCAACCGATCAATTTACCTCGAGATCGTGCAAAGACTCGACGTCATCGCAACAACAACTGCTTTACTATTAGTAGATATTTAAGCGGTGTTGGACAAGAAGAAAAAAGAACAGAGCCGCACATGAATGGCTGTAGAAAAGATAATTTACGTATGTATTTATATAAACAAACGAGCGGGAGGATTCGTGTCTTTGAGAGGATCGAGCTGTGCATCTCCTGAATTAGTTGGGGAACTGCGGCCCTGCTCAACATCGAGGGACGCGGACGAACAGAAAGGGGGAGAGAGAACTCGAGGGCATGAAGTAAGTTGATCGGTCGATGGGGTTTCATTGGGTGTGTGGGCGAACGGCATGAAACGAAGGGACCCCAAAGACGACCAAGGATTGCGCGGAACGTTTTTACGGGCAGTAAGCCCATCGATACAGCAAAGACGACATACGAATTTAGTAAAAAGACGTCAGATCAGTAATGTGTGCGTCACACCCGGCCCTCAAAATGTCCGAATTTGGAGTCGATGGGCGACACCCGAAGAGTTTTATAGCAACGTGGAAGATGCTACCATAGTACTGTGAGGCTTCCCCTGACAATCCGAAAAAAGCAAAAAACAATAGGGCATAGATGACAATTGTCCAACGATCCCACTGGAAAGCTATAGCGTTCTGCAAGTTGGATGTCCATGCAGATATAGAAACCTGGCTAACTTCAGAAAAACCGGCGTGTATATAATCCCAGCTGTATGGAACTGTTGTACCGCCAGCCACGTCGTTCACGAATGCGAAAATTACTGAAGGTAGAATCAATACGATTTGAGCACCGAAAAGAACCATCAAGCGATAATATTTTCCAGAACTAAGGTCTTCATTGCTTTTCATGACTTCTCTCATATGGGATTTTCGACGGATTGTACCGCAAAAAGTGAAAGCTGCGGCATGTAATTAGTACTAGGTTACAATATTATTGAGTGAGAACACGGACTAGAATAGACTGCGCTGACGAAGGCAAAGATTGGTGGCCACATGGCAAAGAGCAGAAATGCGGGCGGCGTCCTTATGGCCACGAAATAACAACCCACTTGTTCTACTATCATAGAGCGGTTTCCCTGGATAACATAATCTACAGCGATTCCAAGTCAAAAACAAAACCGGTGATAGCAATAAATGATGCTACACTTACATAGCGGCAGGAGCAGCAGAGGAAGGCCGATGCCGATGAAAAGATCGGTGAACATATCACGTCTGGTCTGGAAAGATGATGTCACAAACAGAGCTATGCTGAATACTTTGGAATCCATACTTCAAAGCGGCTCCGCCCTACAGTCTTCATAGTTGTGATATGATAAAGCTGACGAGCTATGCACAATGGAGCAAGCTGTACACCGTATTTTGAAGCAACTATCACATAAGAAGCTTTGAAGGACATAAGAAGGTTGTTAAACAGAGAAAGAACTGGTCACTCACATATATCGCACCATCCCGGAGCCAAATTGACGGTATTGTTGCTCCATATGATAGAATTGATAGACGAATTTAGCATCGACAGGCTAAGCCATACAATGAACAAGCAAGTGCCAGTCCTTTCGGCTGTAATAAATTTCAGCTATAAGGATTTACGAACCGGGTGGTACAAAAAGACAAACCCCGGAGATGGTATGGCAATTGTGTGATGAGTAGTATGACACCAAGGAGTGCGAACGCGGAGTATACACGATTCGAGGCTTGATTGGGATGTGCCATCTTTGGGTCAGTACCAGATGTCGGTTGAATTTCACCAGTTCAGGTTGACCGAGCTCGTTCTGTGCGGTGAAGAACGAAATATACTGCCATCCTCGAGAAAAGCATCAGCATTTTAAATATTGAAAAGAGCTACAGGGGCTGTAGCTAAAAGCAGTAGCACAGCTATGTGCTGTGTCATGCATGTAGCTGATTCCGCCTTTTTATGGATACACTACGGCATACATCAACAATGCCTGTCATTTTATCTGCACGTTGAAGGGGAGGTAGACATAATCCAAGTTCCTGTCTATTCCTCTGCCTTCACGGCAATGTCCCATTACTTTCATTGCAAGATGTAGCAGCTTGCTACAACGGTGAATAATTCTCGCAGCACCACTGTTTCTGAAGATGCTCGATGTAAAAAAACAGAAGACGAGACTCAACGCATGGATATATACGGATCGAAGGTGGTGGATTGGGGATCACTAAAAAAACTAACCGGGAATATTGACCAGAAATAGAGTTTAGGCAGTCAGTTTTACTTGTCCATCAAAATGGCTGACCCGCCCCTACAAAAGTCATCCAAATGGTCCAATAGGTCCGTGTGGTGAGGGGCCTATTTCCTGTGCCAGTGATGAGCCCACAAGTCGACAAAGGAGTTGTGCCTTTGCTGTTGTTACAATGTGTGCCCACCTATGATCATCGATCATCGCCTGTGATGAAGCCGCGCCATTTATGGTACATGCACAGCATCAACGAAATAGTGTGAGCATGGTTTTACAAAAGTCTGTGAACAGCTTTTTTCACGCGGGCACAGCGTCAAGTTCACTGTAGTCTCCCGTAGGCAGTCCAATAGATTCGAAGGGAGATAGTCGTTCTCAACAATAATTCATTGCGACATCATCGCAATTCCCACGATTGACATCGTGTCGGTGGTGCCCCCTGGTATGTCCACAAGCACCGTGACTCTATTGCCATACAATGACTTATCTTTCGAACCAGCGATCATGCGTAATACTTGTGCGATGAACTGAATCAATCACAATCCAATACCATCTTCGAGGTTCATATATCTTGTCGATTCGTCAAGAATGGGCACTGACAGAAGGAACAGGTACTATTAGTAGGAACCACGTCTATGCGCATCAACTATAAGTGATTTGAAGTTGACTGTTGTGGAAAACATACTCGAATATACCATTCAACCCCCACGACATCATACTGTCAATGTCAGACACAGAAACTTGAAGAGGGAGAACTTGAACGTAGACAGACAAGGTAGTGTGGTTATTTATCGATAGCACAACGCTCTTACAGTAAGTCTTTCACTCACTTCTTTAGACAAGTCGATGTATGATCTAGATTCACATTCTTCACAGCGCTGCCAGGAGTTTCTGGGTTGTCATCGGGGAAAGGCCTCTCTCCCATTCACTTGCTTTCGCGTGCAGCCAGGTCATAGGGGACCAGTGTGAGAGAGCTTCTGCATCAGGGACTATTCATGTGTAGTCAAGGTATCCGGTATCAACATACGGGATAGCTTGGGTCAATTGCAAGGCTGGTAGGATAACTACTTAATCCCCTTTGTGTTTGATTTACCTGATCAGTCCTGTGCACTAATAAGGAATTTTACTAGATAGCCACACAAAATCGTTCGCAGAATTTTCCTGATGTTCTGATGAGTCTTCTGACTGATCTGTTTATGAAATCTACAATCAGTTTCCTCATTTTAGTATTTCCGCACTTGTTCCGTCACGGGACTGGTCATTAGCATAGAGAGGGCATGAGATGGACATATTTCCTTGTCAACGCGATAAAGGCTGCAGCTGATTTGAAAAATAGTAAGACGGCGAACAATGTCCAATAGCTCGATTCCTTCTGCATTCCTCTCGAAAACCTTCGACTATGTCGTCGTCGGTGGTGGGACTGCTGGTCTTGCACTAGCGGCTCGGTATGTCCCTTATTATGTTCAGTTTATATCACTGGTACTAAACGGTGTTTAAATGCTCACAACTGTAGGTTATCAGAGAACCCTCACCAGGTTGTTGGCGTCATCGAGGCTGGTGACTACGATCCCAATGTGCCTGAAATCAATGTCCCTGGTGCTTTACTATCATCGATGGGCACTACACTATGCTTATTCCTACTCGATACAGGGCTTTGTGGTCGCATCATTGCCAATCAAAAGTTCGACTGGTCATTCATGTCTGTTCCGCAGTCACATGCCAATGACAGAATGGTTTTGCAGCCACGGGGAAAAGCCCTTGGGGGATCGTCTATGGTATAGTCTGGTACCTGATTCCAAGCTTTATTCCGATGTAAATTTCGTCCTACTACTTTGTGTAGATTAATCTCCTTGGCATGTCCCGTCCATCCAAGGAAGATTTTGATGCACTTGAAGAACTTGGAAACAAAGGTTGGAACTGGGATTCGCTTTTAATGTATATGAAGAAAGTAGGTGGAGGGTTGCTTCTCCATACTTTTCCTCATGGTGATATCTGATTTGGCAGAGCGAGACTTTGATACCGCTTTCTCCTCCTGATGCCTGCCATCATTATCCTGAACCAGATTTATCGTTGCATGGGACCGACGGTGAGTTTCGGGACAATTCGTATGTCTTCTCCGTACAACTCATATTCTATGAAAGGTCCAATTATCAAGTCTCTACCCACTTGGTGGAATGCCATGCACGTACCAATGTTCCAAGTTCTTGAAGTACTAGGCATTCTGCACAATAGCGAGCCCGTAAATTTTATGATTTTATGTGCGCTATTGCGTGGTATCATATTCATGGTATCATTCTACAGGGTAATGGCACAAATATAGGAGCAGTTACTTCGCTGGCCAGTATCGATCCTCGTAGTGCGAAGCGATCGTACGCCGCTTCAGCTTATTACGAACCCAATGCATCACGCCAGAATTTACATATTTTTACTGGCGCTCATGTGACTAAGGTAACTAAATTCCATTAATCAGATGTAAATTTAATGTTACCAATATCAAATATTACGCTAGGTTCTTTTTGAAAAGCACGATACATTGCAGAAGGCGACTGGTGTAGAGTTTGCCGTTAACGGGCAGCTTTTGCAACTTAAAAACATCAGAAAAGAAGTCATTCTTGCAGCCGGTTTGTTTAGATACCATATATATATGTCGTGCATCAATTCATTCACTTACACACAGGCACCTTCCAGTCGCCTCAGCTGTTGGAACTATCCGGAATAGGAAATAAGGATGTTCTCCATAAGCACGGAATTGAAGTTCTCGTGGAACTACCTGGTGTTGGGGAAAACCTCCGTGAGTTCTGTCTCACTCACCATGTTGTCGCACGACTTACACCTGTGTTTAGAGGACCACGTCTGTGTCCGGACCATCATCGAGATAGATTCTACGATAGAGACGTTAGACATCCTGACCGACCCCCTCGTGCAAGCTGAACATAATGCGCTCTAGTACGTCCATTTCTCCCTAGTTGCTTTTTGATACTGAAAGGCGAGTAGTTTACAACAAAAGGGGATGTTTTCTTCCCTTGGAGCAGCCGCTTTTGCCTATCTTTCTGCAGCTAATTTAGGCATCTCACTCAAGGATATTCAGTGGTCTACTGAGATTGAGGACCACAAGGCATCCATTCCAAGCCTTATTAAGCAATATGAACTTCAAAGGAGGTGGTTCTCAGACCCATTCCAAGCACAGGCTGAGTAAGTAACATAGTATCTTACTTTTATACCCACTAAATGTACGCAATCAGGTTAATCCAGTTTCCTGGCCACTTTCCCAGCCCTGGCCCGGATCCTGAAAAGCGTTACACTTCCATCATTGCTGCTCTCCTGCACCCCTTCTCTCGCGGAAGCGTCCACATAAATACGGCAGATCCACTGGCGCCACCCGCCATTGACCCAAACTACTTCTCCAATCCAGCCGATCTTGACTTACTTCTAGAAGTTTTGAAGTTTACCCTCAAGATGTACAAGACGGAGCCCATCCTCAGTGTTATGAAGGCCTTTGTTATGCCTAGCCAAGAAATTATTGATGGAGGAGATGATGCCTTGAGGGAATACGTGAAACAATCGTGTGGACCTGTATATCACCCTGTAGGTACTGCAGCGATGTTGCCGAGAGACCAAGGTGGTGTTGTGGATGCAAGCCTAAAGGTTTATGGGACCAGCAATCTGAGGGTGGTGAGTAACTTCCGCTGTAGCACATTGTATCACTTGCTTATGAATGGACGCAAGGTTGACCTTTCTGTGCTACCGCTGGTACGTTGATCTGATATTTTTTATATGTCCGCAATATGACAATAAATGCAGGAGGTATCTTGCCACACGCAGTCTGTGGCCTACGCAATTGGGGAAATGGTGAGTGAGACGTTCGTGTACATATATGACATTGGTAATCCTTTGTTTAAGGCTGCGGATATAATCAAAGGAGTGTTGATACGTGATGGGTCGTTTTCTGGCCCAGGGGGTGCAAGAAGTTGCCATCTATGAATTTTTTGAGGTTGTGGATACGATTAAAGCTTGAAGCTGTTGCGCAGGCGCATAGAAACACTGTGATTGCCTATTACAATGAAATCGTTCGTTGGAACATAGTCGCCTGCTCCTCCAAGTTCGATGTCATATTATAAAGTCCAGGAACGAGGACAGTGGACTAACTGGATTTGATGAATTACTGGAAAGGTTTGACAAGAAAGATATACTAGGAACAATACATGAAGAACCTCCGAGCTTATCCTCTGATAAATCTTACAACAATAGTATAGAAATATAGAAGCTGCGCAATAAAATATCCATAACAATGGAGGGAAGGGGGGATATGTCATATATCCTGTAAATTGCCGTATATCTCGTCCTCTGACATCCTTTTCTCGAATATGACCTGGAAAGGTGCTGCGTGCGTGTTTGCAGTATCTGAGAAGGCATGTGTGTCGATGGGATATGATGGGTTTTGAGAGATACGAAAAGCCCATAAAATGAGTGCAGTGTTGATAAATACAGACCTACGATTAAGGGGAGTCCAATAAGTTGCGTCCACGAAAACAGAGGAACGGAAAAGTAGAGCTTACCGGTTAGCAACAGGCTGACCAGGACAGGCTCTGTAACAAAAACAACGGTGTGAGTGACTCATAGTGGAAGCAGGGAGTATTCGCGCATAAGTACCTGCGACCAAATCCAAAGGTGAAGAATTTGAGGTCTTCTCTCAATTGACCGTCATCTCCTAGCCACCGCCTTGGATTGAATTTCTCGGGATCGGTAAATACTTCTGGGTCATTAGCAATAGCCCTGAAGGCACAGATTCAGTTATCCTCGGCTCTCTACCTTGACAATGTGTTTAACTAGTTCTCACCAGTGGTTACCGATTACGATTGCTCCTGTCGGAATGCAGTAACCATTCCAAACGATGTCTTTGGTTGTACAATGCGCGAACCCTAAATAAAAATTATTATTATTTAAACGATTATGAAATTATCGCTGTTCATGATGGACACGTACCTCCGATACTGACTGGTCTCCATCGGAAGGACTCTAGCATAAACGCTGTTACCATTGGGAGCATGCTCTGGTCATCAAATGTCGGAGCTAAAAGAGGAACATTATGGTAATTTTGTTTATGAACGATGAGATAGAGACAGAACATACCTCTTTCTCGCCCAATAACCTTTTCGAGCTCATCGTGAACCAAAGCTTGCATTTCTGGATGAACTGCTGCCGCCATAATCATGATAGAAATCGCTGAGGCTGTCTTCATCACAAAAATAGGCAGAGAAATCAGAACTGTATATTAAAAGATAAAGAGAATTATAACCTACCGTGTCTGAACCAGCCCCAAACATCGAGCCTGCAACGTATGCAAGTTCGTTATCGGAGAGATCATAGTCCTGCTGGTGCTCCAGCAGATATTTAGCAAATGAAGGCCGTGCTTCTTCATTTTCCTAAGAAGATGGAATCAGTAAGTAGAACATCTGATAGCCGATGAATATAAAGACATACCATTTGCTTGCGAACAATATCAATTTGCCCTCTGAACAGGGCCAGTTCCTCCTGATGCCATATTTTGAGCTCACTAAGATATCCGGGTATGTATCTCATAATAGGATATGTATCGATTAGGTATGTGCCCGGTCGAATAACAGAACCAAGACGGCCAAGACATTTGTTGACCTGGGTGACTTCAGGGTCAGTGTATGCAGTAGGCGTGGTTTTTCCGTATGTAATGGACATGATGACGGATGCTGCGTATCTGAAAAGAAGGGAAGCTGGGGGTCAATCAGGTGAAAAAGAGACAATGGTAAATAAGTACCGTTTGGCATGCATCTGATGCTGTTTGGGATCATTTAAAATATCGATGACAAGACGCTTTGCATTTTCTAGTTGGATGGGTTGGTATGTAGCAGAGGATTTTTCTTGTAGAAGAGCGTGTAGCACCCTACGAAATTGAACATTAAGTTGACTTGTAACACTAAGCATGACATGTAAATAAATACCTTCGCAGCTTCTTCAATGTCGGTCCAAATCTTACGGTCAAGACTCTCATCCCCCCGGATAGTGTCTCTCCCGCTGACACGGAACGGGGTCGATCAGCCAAGGAAGCGCCCTCCTTCTCCATGATATCAACAGCAGCCTAGAAACATTATAAAGCATTGTTTCGATAAAAACCCTCTTGTAGGATGAAAACATATGCACGTACCTGGTGGCGTCCTATGATGACATAAACTTGAGTGCCTCTTCTCAAGGAGAAAACCGGACCATATTCTTCTGTCCATCGAGCAAACTGATGAGGTGCACTTTAAAGGAATAAGACAAGAAGAGTGAGGACATGAAAATGCTGAGCTAAGATACCCACTATGAAGTCGGGAATGTGTTTCCAAAAAGCCAGTGTCCCGGTGGACCAGGAGGAAGAGGGAGTCGTCGAGTGGCGATGACGTGGAGTGCCGTACGGACGACAGTTACAACACCCAACAGAAGAGCCACACCAAGCATTGCGGTGACGGCCACCTGCGTGTCGCCTTGCATATTAAGATTCGTGGTTATGTTGTGCTAGAGGATGGTAAGGGAGTAACACCGTATAGTTCCCTGCAGATTTTCGATTGGAAAGAGTACCGTGCGACCAAAAGCACAACGCTGAATGGAAGCCTACTATGGTTATGCTCGAGCGCTTCGGACCATAATTGGGAGTGGAAAGGTAAACAATGGGTCTAATGTTGCATAAGTATTCCTTTAAATTTATGGAATGAGCCAAACCATCCTGGGCCGTTCTAGGATATGGCTGCCACTTATATTTCCCTTTGTGTGACAGGGAAATGCAATCCCACAAAGACTAGCAGTGAAAAATAGATAATGACCAAACAAGTACATTGTACTACCAGTCCTTTTCACACGATGGTTTCTTTTCACAGTCGTGCTAAAACTTGTTTGATTTTCAGTATTTGCCTGTGGCATTGTGTACATATGTTCAGAGGCCCTTTGGCCATAGTTCTACCATGTTTGAGCAATATCTGCGCTGTGAGTGAAGCTGGCCATGCTGATCATTGTACAATTTCATAAATTTACAGTGTGAAGCAACTTTACATTGTAGTCCCGAGCAATTATCTGCCCAGTAATACCTATGTAATTGGTGTCTCTACAACCACAGCATATTCCCGCATAAATTTGCTCTCCATACACAATGGACTGGAGCAAATCTCCGTGCTCCGGAGGGCATTTGGTGATTATCAAGCAGAAATGCGGGTCAAGCGTGACAGAGTGTGACAGGGCGCGTGTTTGGTGAACACATCGTGAAGTTTCTATTCTTAACGCGAGGAGACAACAGATGATGATGAGTGATAAGGAATGTCACATGCCGTCACATGCCATCATGGCATCAAAGGCAATGTTTTGCTGTGACGCTGCTGGCCAGGAGATTTCTCAGTGTCGGTCTTGTTCATCTACACAATAAAATATATAGAGTATACATGTCTGTGCGCATTATACAAATCAGAGAGTTTCTGTCTATTTAGTTTCTTAGTTAATGTGTTGTATTGAGCTTGAGGCACGCCGGTTGATCTGGTGTGAAAAGGACTGGTAGTACACTGTATATTTTTACCTTTTGATTCTTTGTTCAATCTTGGAGCACACTGGTGAAAGTTTTCCATTTGCATCTCTGGTGTCAGACTGGCGCAACTTGCTATTTTGGCAATTGCTCGTAGTGTTTTAGTTTTCAAGTCGCAGTTATGATGCTTTTCATTCACATACCTATCCCTTATCACTGCAAAAAAACCCAAATTATGCAACATGGGAATGTCCTGAACATCTGCAGAATCCCGCCGCATTTCAACCAGATGTTCACCAGATATCAACTGGCTTGAATGAATACTGAATGCACGAATTGTGCCGCCAGCGTTCACTGGATTCTACTTGGATTTACACCACAATACCCTTCGTTGTAATCTGGAGTTACCAATATTGAGGTATTATCATTTCGCTATCCTTGAGTATTACATAATATAAACTGACACTGATCCCTCAATATAGATTAATATCCTCCTGCTTGTTACAATTTGACATACCAGTACCTACTCACACTTTACTTTTCGTACTTTACTTTTACTTTTTCCAAGTCACATGACCAATTCACCTTTACTTTTCATTTTCGGACCTTTCCTTTATTTTGATTCTCCGCTTTAACCTTGTACTGTAGTTTTCACACTGTGCCATGTGGCACTTCCCCTTTTAGTTCAAACTCCACCTTTCTCGTGCGGCGCTGCCTTTATTCTTATTTTAGATACAAGTATCTCACGCAGTAGAGCTGGTCACACGGGCTAGGCCCCATGACATCAGCAGTCACTGCCTCTAGCAACTGTACAGTACATATGTACAAACAAACATGTATTCAGTATATATACAGGAGCAATACATGGAGACTCCTCAGCGAGTCCTCCTGTTGTCTAGCACAACTAACTCACTGAAACCTGAGGGGTGATCCCTCCTTCTCTCTTCTCTATAGTGTGTTCCTGTGTGCGCCGGAGTAACTAACTCTTGGTTGTTACACTGCTTCTCTGAGTCACACTTTGATAGACAGCAAAGAAAATGTTGCTGTATAGTTTACATGACCTCCTACATGTACATAGCATAAAACTAATGCCACCATCTCTTTATGCCCCCCCAAAAAACACTCCAGATGTCCTCTCACACAACACTCCAAGCTCCATCAGCCGAACAAGCACCTAACACAAATATTGTGTTACTCAAAGCGGCTGTAAGAGACATTGAAGAGATGAAGATTACTCACCTTGCATTCAAGGATCTAACAGACAAATGTGTCAAGATTCTGAATGCCAAAAACCTCCTTTTGAAGCAGGACAATCTGCAGATGAAAGCCGACATTGAAAACCTGAAAAAACAGGTTGACTTCTTGAACAAAAACATGGGTGTAGAATGTGTGGAGTACGACAATGATGGAGAGGACCAGGCAGCCGAACAAGTCAATAACAATGATGCAAGCACAACACAGTCACTTACCGACACCAATATTTCCCTTTCCAACATTGATCCGTCGAGTGTTGATTTAGAGACCCTGTCACCGGAACAAAAAGAGATTATAAGCCTTGAAGTGGCCGACTCAAAAATTGTCAAGGTGAGTAAATATATTATGCAAACACTACAATAAAAAAAACTTACCTATACCTATAGCTATCAACAGGATGCTATAAATGAAGTGTTCATGAGAAAAATGGGTGTAGATAAACTGGAAGCAAAACACTTACCCGATTTCCCCTCCTCTATCAGCCAAAGTATGTCGCCTGTTGATCAAGCTACAAATCAGCTGCTCCTTCGGTTCAAATGGAAAATGCCAGCAGATGAAGCCACGAACAGTAGCAATTTAGTTGCAATACAATCTTGGGTAGTCAACAATGCACCTGCAGAATTTCCCACCATATCCAGCATGCTTCGACTCTTACTTCCCAAGGACCTCAAACAACAAATCCGCCTATGTTTCCAATACATGTCACGCCAGTTTTGTCTCAATACACAGAAAGTCCAAGCACGTGAGAAAGAGTCTGAGGCAGCTCAATTAATTGATGATGATGACGATGAAATTGTCATCATTGTACCTGTATCTAAAGCACACAGAAGTTCCCATGCACAATCAGTGAGTTTGAATTGATAAGAATCAATTATAAGCTTACCTGTGCTAGAAATGTGACCAACGCAAACGCAAACAGTCTCGATTGGCATACACTGACCCGAAATATGATGCAGCATTCATCATCAACGCTATGTCTGACAATGAGGATGACCCTGATTATAGGCCAACATCAAATGAACCTAAGGCATTCAGGACAAGTTGAGTGGATATTTCAGATTGTTTGAATTCGTCTTGAGTAAGGGAAGTCATTTTTGAGTTGGTGGTGTAATATGAAGAATAATAATTTAGTTTATTTTTGAAACTCAAAGGACTCTAGAAAACGACCAAGTCCTTCTTGAGTATCTAGTTAAAATGTGCAGGAAACCTACAGATTTTGTGTAGATTTCCAGAACCGAACATCCAGAGCAAGATTCGATTGAAATGTGCCAGAAATGACCGAGTTTTTGGGACATTCTCATGGTTCATAATCTCAGGTTTTTCACAGTGTATCTCTCCTTTAGATGAGCCAGCACACACGTTGTCATGCACCAAAGTTGATTGGTAGCATGGACAGGTGTCAATAACGAAGCGAATATTCAAAAAGACTCGCCTTTGCGCCACACAGGCACAGTGCCACGTGGAATAGTAATTAATATTGCCCTTTTTGAACTTGTGGCTGATCAGCACCACCTCTATTAGGCAATCCAGTCACGCTCACCTTTGCTTTTCCATCCGGTACTTTCCGCATTTCGGCATTTTGGCAAATTTTCGCGTCGCCACTGGCTACACATTGCATTGCGCCCTCGCTTTTGTCGTTTCCCTTACTCCCCTTCCTTTGCCTAGCCCCACCATGGGCCCCTTCCTCTCCTTTTTATTCTCACCCGACGGTCGTTTCTGGGTCCCCATTTTAGTTCACCTCCTCGTCACCTCCACCCTCCTCCTCCTCATCTTCTTTGCACCCCCACCATTTCTGATGTCACCACTTCCTATCCGCTTCCGTCGCCGATCCGTTGACTACCACGTGCCACTGCTGATATCAGCAAAGCCCGGCGGCCCGGTCCAAATAGGGCAACAGGTCCATCTTCATGACGTCGATCTGCCATCATATACTATCAAAACATCGGTCGCTCGTCTTGCCTGGTTGGAGCGTGGGTGGGTAATTTTTGAGCTGGAGAAGGTTCATCCCCTTGCGTCGCCCATGTTCATCGCTGTCCCATTCACTTGGGTACACTTATCATTTGTCCATCGTCTTCGCTACAGCTACACCTACCACACGCTGCCTGGGACTCACTTGTTCCAAATTGGAACTACTCCTCTCCCTCCCTCGTTTGATCAGGTGGTCCAACACAACCAGTCCATTGGTAAGGCCATGGAACTGTCAGATTTGGACTAGGTGGTGGACCGGTGGCTCCAGTTTCTTTTTTTTCAGCAGAACATTCATTTACAGTGCGATTATTTTTGATTTTTGAATCATTTTTATGGACACATATTTTTTTAGAATGCCTGACTGACAATAAAGGAACTGTGTTGATACTGATAGTGTTTTGCCTTGCTCTTTTTTTACTGCATCTTCCCATGACATCATGATTTTCCTGCTCTCTTTTTGCTATTGGACTTTACTTTATGGCTGTACAAACCTGTGATATTACTCACAGCATTTATTGTTCTATCCCTTTCTTTTCTTTTTTTGACAATCTTATCCTGTACTACCTACGCAGGATTCGTCAGCGTACATTCCTTCCTTCATATTCTTTCTCATTCTTTTTGCACAGCTATACTGTGCATAGCCTACTTCTCTTTTACTATATAAACCCCTGTATTTTACCTTGTAAAAAAAAAACAAGAACTCGATTCCAGACTTCTTCTCTAATCTTAAGTCCACTTCTTACTGCTACTTGTGATCCAGTGTGGTCACAACACTTCCCACTTCTACCACTGTTAACTGCTGTCATCGTCACTCGTCACTTTTGAAAGTGATTGTCATCCCCTTCGATTAGAGTCCTTCTGAGCACTACAGTTTGTGCATCAGGAGCCTGCTATCACTGGGAACCTCGTCACCTCGTCATCCTCGTTGTTCTCAAACCTACCTTGTGCTACGATTAGCAAGGTAGTGCTCATCTATACTCGCCACAAACCCCCTATCTTTCTATAAATTCAACTATCCCTCCTCCTCAAAACCCACACTCATACACCACTGGGTTTTACTTTGAAGGATCTTTATACGTACCACCCCACGAACAACCAGACCACTCCACTGTTCTAGGAGGCAAAGCCCATAAACAAGTTCCGTGGAATCTGGGAGGATTGTGTGTTAGTTTGTTTTGTGTGTGGTTTTCTAACAACAGTTCTCATCATCGACAATTGGAGCCCACCGCGAGGGGTGGTTTCCTTCAAGCTAAATACCAACCATTTCATCGCCATCACTGTCTAATTTATCATCTACACCTTCTATCTCACCCACCGCTTTATCTGTCCCATCCCTCTCTTCCAGTAACTCAATTTCTGTACCAGCTTCTACTCAGCAAGCTTCACGTTTACCCCCTATACTTTTCACTATGAATCAACCTACTACTCTCTCAGTCATCACTATGCCAATTCCTGGCACTCGTTATGCTCCTAAGAAGTTCAAGGGAGACTATACTCGTGTCAGGGATTTTGTTCTCCACTATGAGCGCATCTGTCATGCAAACAATGTCACTGCTGACGATGAAAAATGCTCAAGCATTCTCCAATACTGCTCCACATATGTTCGCGAAATTATTGAAGGAATGAAGCACTTCATTACGCCCTCATGGAACAGTCTCAAAGACGAAATTCTCCAGTACTTTGATGCTGCAAAAGCAGAGGCCAAATTTAAAGAGCATCATCTTAAACAGCTGGTCGATGCTTCGCACAAGAAGAAAATGGGCTCTCTGGACGATTTCAAGAGCTACATGAGGAAGTATGTTCGTGTTGGAGGATGGCTTCTTGCCAAATCCAAAATCACTCAGGACGTATTCAATCGCTTCTTCTGGAAAGGACTACCCAAAACCCTTCGTCATCGCGTTGAAAATAGACTTCTACAGAGAGATCCTACCCTTGATCTCTCCCAGCCTTTTGTCTTTGATGATGTTGTCAAGGCTGTAGAGCATGTCCTTCGCAGAGATCGCTTTGATGATGAAGATTTTGACTCTGATGATTCGGATTCAGACTCGGATTCAGAAAACTCTTCCAGTTCTTCGGACGATTCTTCTGACTCTGACAAAGAGGAAGAACCACCTCGTTATATCAGGAAAACCACCAAGCAGAAGAAAGAAAGAAAGCACACCTCTGAGACAGAGAAAGAGAGAAAGTTGTTGAGTCCTTCCAAGTTGAAGAAAACCCTTCACTCTTTAGACGAAGAAGAGCACACTGCTGTCAAACAGGATGAAGTAGAAACCCTTATCAAGAAGTTGGGTTCTATGACAATTGAAGATCCTAACTATCCTCTGCTCTACTATTGTGCTATCAAGCTTGACACTGATGCTCGACTTATACTTCGCCCTCCCACTTTCATGAACCAGTCAGCTAGACCATCTCGATCCTCTCAAGGAAGCAGCAACTTACCCACTCAGCCTACTGCTCCACCCACTGCCACTCTGCCTACAGCACCTCGTGTTCCCTTCCTTTGCTATGGATGTGGAAAAACTGGTCATGGAGTCAATGAATGTGCAGATATGCTTGACTTACTGTCAAAGGGAATTGTCAAGAAGGATGACACTGGTCGCTTTGTCATGTCTGATGGGTCTAGAATCATGCGATCAAGAGAGGAACCTATAGCAACTGCTGTACATCGCACTATCCCCAAGTCTAACCTCCTCACTACGACTTCTTTTATGTCCATTGCTGAAGTAGCTGACTCTGATTCTGATTCAGATGAAGAGCCTGTCTATGCAGTGGATCGTCCAGACAGAGTGTCTAAGGAGAAGCGCAAGCAAGTCTTTGATGGTGTCTACATTCCTCCTAAACCAGATTGGGCCAAAGCTGTAAAAGGAAAGAAGAAAGAAGAAGAGAAGCCTGCCGTTCCAACCATAGCACCTGCCCCATCAAAGCCACACATCTTTGATATTGCACAGCCTATCTTTGATCCCACCAACAAGCCCCAAAGCTTGACAGCTGAATCACTTCTTGCCATCACTCATGCCGACCTCATTCGTGTCCCTGTTACCTCTAATGGCGAAACTATTTCAGCAATTGTTGATTCAGGGTCTGCTCTCAATATAGTCAGTCGCACTATTTGGGAAAATCTCATTCGCCTTCCCATGGATACTAGTATTCGACCTGTAGTCAAAGATGCCAATGGAGGATTTGGTAGACTTGATGGTCTAGTCAACAATGTGGCTTTATACTGCGGAGAAGTCAAAACTTATGCCAATATCTTTGTTGGGAAAGACACTGGATATGATCTACTTCTTGGACGACCATGGACGCATGGGAACTATGTCAGCATTGAAGAGAGACTTAATGGCACTTATCTCGTCTTCAGGAAGGATGGCAAAATCGAAAACCCTGCTCTGGAAGTCAAGGTATCATCAGATCATCGTCCTATTCACTATGTCAAACCACTATCTGGAGTATCCGATACAGTATCCAGCTTCTTAGTCACGGACTATGACTTCAATGGAGAAGATCTAGATGGAAATACCGGTGAATCGGAAACTGCTGCTGAAAGTGTCACCCCAGAAGAAGAAACTGTGCCTGTTCCAGATCATTCCCCAATTGGTTCAATCGAAAATTCTAGTACTCTCAGAGCACTGGAAGACCTGGAGACTCGTCTAGAAGAAACTATTGAAGCCTCCATCCCTATCCCCAATGCCAGTACCTTTGAAACATTCTTTGACCATATTCGCTCAATCAGGGAAGATGAAAGGTCTGCTATTTTTGGTCTACTGAATAACCTTCAATATTGTCACAACATGAGCTCACTCTCAATAACTTCAGACTATGTCATGAGAGGACACCATGGCTTCGATGAAAACCACAACCTTTATGCGGATTATGTCCTGCTCCATGCTCATTTGCGATTTGACCAGAATCATGGACCTGGAAGAGCACAATCTATTATCAGTCGCTCAGGAACTGCACATATTCGCTTCTTTCCTCAAACAGAGTCATTTCCAATTCCCACTGATGAAGATATAAATGGACCTCCATCACGTGATATGAATGGTCAAGTCAATGTGACGGTGGAGGTAATACAAGAATCCGATTCGGAGCCGATACACAATCATATAAATGGATTAATTAATGATGACTCATCCACTGATTCTGAATCACCACCCCCATATTCGCGTCAACAGTTACCATCAAACATCAGTGACTCACCCCCATCACCATCCTCTACCAATGCTACTATTGCTTCGTCACTTTCTCCTGATAATCGCACACTCATGCACCATAATCGCACACTCATGCATACTATTTGCAATGATAGTCAAGAGGATGAAAGGGAGATTGAATCCTCACCGCCCCTTCACTTATCCTTCTCCACAACAATAGGAGTGGAGCATCAACCTTCCATCAATATATCATCCGATATTACTCCTTATCTTCGAACTTCCATGCATCACTATCATCATTTTCCCACGTCACCATCAGCTCAGCCATTATCAATTATTCACACCAGTGCCAGAAATTCTACTCCGATTCTAACACATCTTCACTCCATCCTAAACGCTTACATCGAGCATTACAAGCACCTAACATGTCCTGGCTCGAAGGGTTTCATATTACTAAAGAAGCTCTCATCATCGAGATTGTGGTGGGAGTGTTACTTGTCCTCGCCCTTTTCTACGGTTTTGTCTTCCCTCGTATTCGCGCTTATTGTCGACGAGAACGTGTTGAGGTTATTCACCTCCACAACAGGACAACTCATCCATCCAGTGCATCCACATTCACCACCAGCACTGAGGTACTTGCTAGTGCCACAGTTGAAGTTTGAGGTAGATGCTGGTGATACATTTCTATATTCCTTTCTTACTTAACACTCCATTCAGCGCTCTTGGACCATATGCCACCTTTTCCCTTTTTCTTCTTTCTAGTTATATATCTATTACTTGTACAAAACGGCCTCTTGGATTTCTATGTTATCCGGTTTTTCCTTCCTTTACTCTTGTACCAACTTCTTTTTCTATTGTCTATGTTCCCCTTTCGTTCTTATCTGATCTTTTTCCTTCCCCCCTTGTAAAACTTCCGACCTCATCCCTATCCTATTCGGTCCGAGATGACGCAAAACTACCACGGCACTTTCCTTCTTTGAACACTTTTTGTTTTAACCCTAGTTACATGATAGACATTGTGGACCCTATACCTGTACCAGCACCCGATTGGTCGAGTTTTGGAGCTTACAAACGTGTTGATCGCAAAGTCAAACCTGTTCCTGGAGTATTCCCAGAAGATGCACGTGTCACTCGGTCATTTCCAGAAGACCCACTCCTTTCGCTCCCACCCCTTCCTGTCCTTCCCCCAGAATTCATTCCCACGCCAAAGCTCACCAAGGAGCGCCTTTATGATGAAATGAAGCTAAACTCTGATGGATTCTTATGGCCAGAAGAGGAAAAGCTTTTCGCTCACATCATGATACTCAATCAGCGCAGTCTTGCCTTCGAGGAAACTGACAGAGGAACGTTCAGAGAAGACTACTTCTCTCCCTACGTCATACCTGTTCTCCCACATGTCCCTTGGGAATACAAGAACATTCCTATTCCTCCTGGAATCAAGAATGAAGTCATAGAATTGCTCAGAGACAAAATCAAAGCTGGAGTCTATGAGCCTAGCCAGTCGTCTTATCGCTCTAAGTGGTTTTGCGTTCAAAAGAAGAATGGCAAGATTCGCATCGTCCATGATCTTCAGCCACTAAATGCAGTCACTATCAAAGACTCAGGAGTACCACCTATCCTTGACGACTTTGTGGAGCCATTTGCTGGTTCTCAATGTTATACTGTGTTTGATCTTTTTTGGGGATTTGATGCTCGGAAAGTGCACCCTGACAGTCGTGACCTTACCTCTTTTCTATCACCACTAGGACTTCTGAGGATTACTTCTATGCCTATGGGATTCACCAATTCCGTTCCAGAATTCCAGAATTGCATGACTTTCATCTTGCAAGACGAAATTCCGCATATTGCCAATATCTTTGTTGATGACCTCCCAATCAAAGGACCTACTTCTCGTTATGAAGATGCAGATGGCAACCCAGAGACCATTCCTGGCAACCCTGGCATTCGTAGATTTATATGGGAACATGCCATTGACGTTCATCGCATTATGCATAGAGTTGGTCATGCTGGCGGAACTTTCTCTGGAAAGAAGACTCAGTTATGTCGTCCTCAAGTTGTGATTGTCGGACAAGTATGCTGCCCAGAAGGTCGTCTCCCTGACAGTACCAAGGTGGACAAGATTCTTAAATGGCCAATTCTCCAGACTCCCAAAGACGTTCGCAGTTTTCTTGGTCTATGTGGCACAGTTCGCATTTGGATCCGCAATTACTCTGCTCTTGCACGCCCCTTGACAGAATTGTATCGCAAAGGAGCTGAATTTCAATGGGATGAACGCAGACAAGAAGCATTTGATGCTCTGAAGCATGCAGTATCTTCTGCACCAGCACTTCACCCTATAAATTATTCGTCACACAACCCAGTCGTTCTTTCAGTTGATACCAGCAAGATTGCTGTTGGTTTTATCCTCTCCCAGCTTGATGAAAATGGAAGGAAGCGTCCAGCTCGCTATGGCTCTATTCCCATGAATGATAGAGAGGCAAATTACAGTCAACCCAAGCTAGAATTATATGGTTTGTTCAGAGCACTTCGTCATTTTCGCCTTTACATTGCAGGAGTAAAACACTTGCATGTGGAGGTGGATGCCAAGTATATCAAAGGCATGCTCAACGATCCAGATCTTCAGCCTAATGCCACTATCAATCGTTGGATTCAGGGCATCCTTCTCTTTG